CAAGATGAGTTTGCTAGGGTGAGCTCTTGCAAATCCGCAAAGGAAGCATGGAAGCTCCTAGAAGCCACCCATGAAGGAGATAAAGACACAAAAGCTACCAAGATAGCTTTAGGAACATCCGAGTATGAAAACTTCAAGATGAAGGCCGGAGAATCCGTTCAAGATATGAACAAGCGATTCAACCTCATTGTCAACAATTTGAGTAAGCTAAATAAAGTTTATCCTACTAGTGAGATTAACACCAAGATTATATTCTCTCTTCCTAGAGAGTGGCATAGTCTTGTTGTAAATTTGTTGCACAAATGTGCGGATGTTGAAACCTCCACCATTTGGAGCAGCCTATACTCTCACGAGCTTCTTTTGAAGAAAATGAAGGAAGAAGAACAGGTTCCTATCATCAAGAAGACCATGGCACTCAAAATTGATGACCATCCGGAAAGCGAAGGAGAAAGTGATGAGGAGCTTGCCATGTTCAAGAGATACAAGAAGTTTATGAAATGGAACAAGGGCGAATCCTCAAAAAGATTTTCATCAAAGAAAGGTAAACCTAATCAAATAACTTGCTATGAATGTGGAAATGTAGGTCATATCAAACCGGAGTGCCCAAAGCTCAAAAAGAAGGAAGAGCTTAAAAAGGGGAAGAAGAAGGCATTAAAAGTCACTTGGGACGATTTAAACTCCGACGAAAGTGATAGTGACCAAAGCCAAGAAGAGAACGCAAATGCTTGCTTCATGGCCTCCAATGATGAAGAAGAGGTTAGTTCTCAAAACTCATTTACCTCTTTTGAAAGTCAAATTACTTTTGATGAGTTAAGGCAAGCGTTTGATGAATGCCAAGAGGGCCTTTTTCGAACTATTAGGGAGAAAAAGGAACTCAAAGTGGCTCTTGAAACCTCTCGAGATGAAAACAAAAATTTAAAAATTAATCTTGAGAAACTTCAAAATCAAAATGAAGAACTTTAAAAGAAAATTGAAATTTTGATTAAAGAAAAAGACAAGGCCAAACGAGGAGCTTTGGAAATGTTTTACAATAGCTATAACTCAACAAAAGAATGGGATAACCAACCAAAACTAACGAAAGAAGGTATTGGCTATGGTGAAACCACAAATTTGATGAGTATGGCTAAAAATCATTATAATACCACAAAAATTAACCCATCAAACCAAGCCTCCACTTCTAAATCAAAAGTAAGGGCTTGCCACTATTGCATGCAATCTAACCATATTGTGACAAAATGTCCAAACAAATGGTTAGTTGAAATGTGTAGATTAAAATGGGTCAAGAAGGGTTCTAACCAGTCGGAATCCAAGAATATTGGATATCAAAAGAAACCCTTTTTGCAGGAAAATAAAAGAAATGATGGTGGATACTATTTCTTTTATTATGATGAAAAACGAAAAGTCCATATACCACTCCCGGAACCAACCAAGACGAAACATGTATATCGACATAGGGTATTCGTCGATTAGAACCCCAAACCTAAGTCAAAAGTAAATTCCATTTTGACTAGGTTAAAAATACCACTTGGGTTGTGGATAGTGGATGTTCAAGACACATGACCGGAACAAGAGGATGGTTCACAAGTCTCAAGGAGAAAAGTCATGGACATGTGACTCTTGGAGACAAATCTCGAAAGAAGGTCATTGGTAAAGGTACGATAGGTATTTCAAGTGATTTTTCAATAAATGATGTTTATCTTGTTGATGGCCTAAAATTTAATTTAATTAGCATAAGCCAACTTTGTGACAATGGCCACAAAATTGAGTTTAATGCAAATTCCTGCGTTTTATATGGCCAAAACAAGGATGAAATCATTTTTGAGGCTAAAAGAGATGGAAACTTATACAAGTTCAATTCCAATGATTTAAGCAACTCAAAAATCACTTGTCTTACTACTTCGCTTGAATTTTCAACTCTATGGCATCGTAGACTAGGACATGCTAGTTATGATCTTTTGAGAAAAC